CCTGCGGGGCCACGGAGCGTATGAGGGGTGCGCCGAAAATGGAGCGCCGCGCGGCATGCCGACGCTCCCACTGCAGCCTGCGGTGGGGCGCCTCAGTGGGCCACGAAAACGTGCGAGACGTGCGCCGAGATCCGCGTCCCGATGGGTGCACGAACTATGTGGGGGAAGGGGGGCGAGGAACAATCGAGTGCGAGTACGGCCTGCGGACCATGCCGCTTGGGTTTTCGGTGGGACTCCTCATAGGGTTAGAAGCGGAGTGGTTGTCCTGCGGAAACCGGAGGCAGGGAGGAGAGGAGAGGGAAGGAACGTGAGGAGGAGGAGGAGGAGGTGGAGGAGGAGGAGAAGGAGGAGGAGGAGGAGGAGGAGGAGGGCCTGGGCAGGCCGAAGGGCTGGAGAGCTGTGCGCAGGTGTTCCTCCGCCTGCAGCCGGGGCGAGCCGCAGGAGAAGCGCACAAGCTGCGGCTGTCCGCGCTGACCCTGGCCGGCGACCAGGAGGAGCCGAACGAGGTGCGGCCCCTGGCGCTGGGCAGTTTCCACAGGGGGGCCGCCCTCAAAGCTGCGGGCCGCGTGCTCCGCCGAGGGGCGGCGGCAGCGCTCGGAGTGACAGCGCACCCTGTCGGCGGGGCCGCACGCGGGGCCGAGCGCATGCACAAGGCTGCCTTGCTGAACCTCGACAGCCCGCTGGGCTGTTGCAGGCTTAGAACTGACGTACTTACCGCCCACAACGAGTTCAGCCGAGAATCGGCTGCGAGAGCAGTCCGCGGGTGGGTCCCTGACATGCCCCCCTGGGTCCGCCATATCTTTTTCCAGTGTCATTCGTGCGCTGGCGGAGCCACGAGCCCGCGCGCCGGCGCGGGCCGCGGGGCGGGAGCCCCGCTCCTCAGAGTCGCGCCGCCCTGCTGCGCTGCGGCTGCAGCCGGCACATGGAAGGCGGTGGTCTCTCACGCCCCACCCTGCGCCGACTGCACGCGCGGCCTTCCCTGCCCGGGTCGGAGCAGGCAACGCCGGGTGGCGGAAGCTCCGCATGGACCCCTGACTACCCGGCCCCGCCCCGCGGGCGGCAGGGGTGACGCGGACAGTCAGGGGAGCAAAAGGCACTCGCTGCTAGCGAAGTGAGGAGGAGGGAGAGAGGGAAGAAGAGGCGGGGAGGGAGCGCCGGCGCAGGGGGCGGCACCTAGCACGCAGCGGCCGACGTAAGTAACATACGCTGCACGGGCATTCTGGGCAGCACCCTCGCAAAAAAAAGACTTGCAAGAAGAGCTCCGGCCCCGACGCTAACAAGGGCACCCCCGAGTCAGGGAGGAAGCCGCGGAGCGGGTGGGAGGCAGGGCAGTAGACGAGGGCATGGCGAAGGCAAAGATTAGGCGCGCCACATGCCGCACATCGCGGGAGGCAGGCGGGCGACTCCTCGAAGCCGATCACAGGGAGGGGCCAGCCCCCTGTCATCCGCGCAACTGCCCATAACCTGTACAGAAGCCAGAAGTCTGGGGGTCTCTCCTGGTCCAGCAGCTCGGCTGACGGCAGCGCCGTCCCTGGGCAGAGCGCCGCGAATGACCGGCCGAAGGCCATGAGGATTGCAGACGCTGCCTGGGCGAACGCCCTGCGGTCATATTCGAGCAGGATGGGGCGGAGCACGTTCCTGCGACAGTCGCGCAGGAGGGGTCGCCTTTGGCATGGGTCAAGCCTGGCCAACTCGATGGGAGCAGTAGCAAGCCCTGGCGCGGCGCCGATCCCTGGTGGAACCGACGGCAGGCGCTCTGTCAATGACAGGGCGCCCTCGTGTCCCAAGACGATACCCTTAAACACGAGGCGGCCTGGAGCATCATAGCCGCCGGATGGCCAGGCGGCAGGGTGCGCAGGCGTGCGCGGGCCACGAGGGCACGCTCAATGAAGCACGTGCCGAGCCGCATTTGCCAACCGCGCTGTGCGATGACAGCACTGAATTTGATGCGCGGCCCACCATGGCACCCTGAGTGTCTTTGTTGTTGCTAAGTTAAGTACCAATTCTGTCTCATGGACTGCGGCAAGCAGCGGTGCCGGGTAAAGGACAGCTGACGCCACTCGCGAGGGGACCTGGGCTGCTGCCACGGGCATCGAGAACCCGCCCGCTTCGGCCGCTCTCAGCAGGTCGCCAAACAGCGAACGGCCATTTTCATGTAGTAACGGCCTCATGTATCAAGGGCCGTCATGTAAGGGCTGGGTCGACCAAGACCCCGAGAAGGTGCTTAGCCCCCACGGCCGTATACGAACTCCGTATCACTCGGGGGCGAAGCGCCTAAGACTGGCAAAACGCAAGCTTTATTGCGCTCATCGGAAAGCTGGGGCTGGAAGCGCATCGAATATCTACTACACGCCCACCACGGCTCAGGCGAGAGAATCGCACGGACCGCTCCTTCTGAAGGGCACGGCGCCGTTAAGTCATCCACGAAGTGAACGGGCGCCAGATGGCGCGACCCGAGGCGTTCGACCAGAGCGACGCGATCCGCTGCGCAGGGAGCTCCTGAAGTAGCGCACGGACGGCGCTCCCCGTGAGGGGCCAAGGTGCGGCGCCCCGCTCTGCTGTCCATCTAGCTTCGGACAGCGCAATCCACGACAATGCCAGCACGCGGCGGCTCACAAGACTGGCGTGGCGGCGTCGCCACGACGGGCGAAAAGCGGCGCAATGGTTCCACATCCGTCCGGCTGGACGGCCAGGATTTCCTCCGCCAGCGAACGTTGTTGCACTTTGAAGGTCGGGACCGAGAAACGACGGCCCTGTGCCATGCCTCGTCGAAGCCGAAAGATGGGGGTGAGAAGGCCGCGCGGGCTAAGACATTGATGGTCCCGGGCGAGGATGTCGTCCAGGAGCAGCCAATCAGGGCCGCAAGCGCCTGCCTCGAAGGAGCCGACAAGCATGGCATCCCGAGCTGCAACGTCGAAGTCCCACTTCCCATCGGCTATCGCCCACCACGTGGGCAGCTCTTGGGACAGGCGGAGCTGACTGTGCTTAACCAAGGCTATTACTACAGAGACCGCATCGCCCACGCCTCCCTGCTGATCAGGGCCCGCGTGGGCTTCTAAATAAGATGCATTCCGCGCAAGCCCCGCTGCATCTTGAAGCGACGCGAGCTCAGAGGCGAACGAGATTGGACGCAGCGCCGCCGTCTCGCGGACGACACGGGGCCCTCTCTTACGAATTAGCGCGAACTGGCGGACCGACCAGAGCTGCGCGGCGACGGATGCGGCCTGGGGCAAATCAAGGAGCGCCCTGGTGACGCGCCTCCCCGCGGGGGCTGCCGCGCGCAATGCTGCGCTGCAACCGCGAACAGTGCGCTGATTCACTTCGAGAAAGACAGGAGGCTCAACGCTGCCGCCGCCTCGGCGGGGGCAGGGGCCGCGCGGGATGGCGCCCTCGCCCGGGGTCGCTTGCAATTGCGCGCGCGCCGACGCGCTGCACAGCCGCTCAGGGAGAGCAGCAGCAGCGCAGGAGGAGGGGGGGCGAGGCGCACGCAAGGGGCGGCCAGGGACGACCGAGAGAAGCGAGGGCGAGGACGAGAGAAGCGATGAAGAGGCGCCGCCAGGGGAGGCCCAGAAGGCCAGGCGCGCGCGCGAGGAGAGGCAGGAGCCAGAGGAGGCAGCGCCGCAGGGCGCCAGGCGCGAGCGCGAGGGGAGGAGGAGGAGGAAAAAGAGGAGGCGGCGGACGAGGAGGAGGCCGACGACGCCACGCGCGCGGACGCCGAGGGCACAGGACAGGCCCAGCGCGAGGGGAGGCACGGGGCGAGGCTGCAAAGGCGCAGGCGGCGCCGCAGGAGCCGGGAGGGCGCCGGACGAGGAAAACAGCGCGCGCGAGGAGGAGGAGGAGGAGGAGGAGGAGGAGGAGGACGAGGAGGAGGAGGAGGAGGAGGAGGAGGAGGAGGAGGAGGCGCGGCACAGGGGGAGGAGACACAGCACAGGAGGAGGAGACGCAGCACAGGAAACGCAGCACAGAAGGCAAACCGCACAGGCAGAGGTGCAGAGGAGGGCCCATGCCAGACCCGCTCGGCAGCGGCCCGCGCGTGGAGGAGCGGCCTGCCTAGGAGGAGGGCGCAGGGCGCAGCCGGGGACAAGCCCGAGCAGGCCGCAGCGCTCATCGCGAGCAGAGGTGAATGGTCCGGGCCCTTCCGTTTCCAGCCCCTGGCCGAGGAAAACGAGGAGCTAGAGGAGGAGTGGGTCCGGGAGCACCACGGACAACGCCACCAGCGCGCCGAGCAACGCTGCAAAGACCACGACGTCCACGACCACGACCACCGAGACCCGCATCGACGCCACGACGAGGACGGGACGGGAGCGCCCGAGCGGGCGGCCCAGGCGGACCCCACCAGGAGGCGACACAGGGGGCGGGCGAGGAGGAGAGGGCGCCACGCCAGGCGGCCTCTGCTTGCAAGGGCATCCGCCGAACCCGCCGGCGAGCCGCGTGGCAAGACCTGGAGGACGAGATCGCCGAGCACGTCGTGCTCGTGGAGCGGGCGGCGGCCTTCGAGCCACGCCGCGCTTTTCGGGCCGAGAGGTTCGACAGAAGGTGGGCGGAATGCGCGCGCCGAAGAGCGCTTGAGGCAGCTGGGGGCGAGGCGCCGCGCGACGAGCAACAGCAGCAGCCGAGGAAGCACCAGCACCAACGCGCACAGGAGAGGCTGCGAGAGGAGGCAGACAGCACGAGGTCGCGGGGAGAGCGACGCGGCGGCCAGAAGACCGACCCGAGGAGGGCAGAGCCGCATGGGGTCAGATATTCCCAGCACCGACGAGAGGACGCCGATAGGGAGATGGCGCGGGCCGGCATCGGCGAAGGCGCGCCGCGCATAAGCATAGAGCAGCTCCGCCGCGAGCGCCATGAGCAGCCCCCCGCGAAGCAATGCCAACACAACGAGCTGCACCACTACCGCCACCAACACGACCGCGACCACCAACACAACGATGACGGCGGCAAGCAGCACAACGACTACGACCAGCAGCACTACCACAACGACGACAAGCAGCACCAGCAGCACCACCACGACGACAACCAGCACCAGCGGCAGCACCGCCACCGTGACCAGCTGCAGCAGCTTCACCACCACGACCAGCAGCACCAGCACCAGCAGCAGCAGCAGCAGCAGCAGCAGCAGCAGCAGCAGCAGCCGCAGCAGCAGCCGCAGCAGCACCAGTAGCAGAGGACGCAAGGAGGGCGACGGAACGCACCGGAGGAGAAAGCTGACGCGGGCCCGACGCGCGCAGGCGCGGGGCGGCGCGTGGGAGCGGACACTGCGCGCGCCCCAGGGGCCCCGCGGCGTCCTTCGAGGCGTTGGGCCCCCGGGAACAGCAGCAGCACCAGTAGCAGCAGCACCAGTAGCAGCAGCACCAGTAGCAGCAGCAGCAGCAGCAGCAGCAGCAGCAGCACCACCACCACCACCACCACCACCACCACCACAACGACGACCACCAGCACCAGCAGCACGACCACAGCCACCACGGCGACACCCTGCACCACCACCACCACCACCATCACCACCACCATCACGACCACGACCAGCATCGCCACGACGACGGCGAACTCCAGCCAAACGATTACGACCAGCGGCGCCACCGGCACTACGACGGCAAACAACGCCACCAGCACCATCACGAAGACAACGCCCTGCACCACCACCACCACCGCCACCACCACGACCGCGACCGGCACCGCCACGACGACGGTGACCAGTAGCCAAACGACTACGACCAGCGGCGCCACAGACACGACAAGCCACACCACCAGCACCACTACCACCGCGACAGCTGCGACCAGCCGCGCTTCAGCGAGCACTACGAACAAAGCAGCCCAGCCCGTTCACCCAGGGACGCGCGCTGGGGGCTGCGAGGCCAGCGGATCGGGGAGGCGAGCCACACAGGGCCACCCAGCGGACAGCCAGCAACGCCGCAGCGATCGCAGAGAGAACACATCTCGGGCGAATCCGAGCCAGTGCCCGCCGAGGCAGAGACTCCGCCCCGAGAGCTCTTCCGGTCTCGACGGTCGTCGTCGTCCCGGCAAGCAGGTCGGAGCCACTTCTCCGCCGTTTTCGGGCAAGCGCCAGGGCTAGATGTCGCTGCCACACCTTGCGCGACGTGCCAGGAGCCACTAAACAACTCAGGGGTACAGTGGCCCGACTGCGGCCAGGCGCCACACTGCTAGCGCTCAGCCTGCCTCGCCCACTTCCGGCCCCCGCGCCGCGGACTGGCTCACCTGCGGCACACCGGCGGCGACTCCAGCCGCGTGGAAGAAGCGGAGCGCCCGCTCTGCAACCACAGGTGGGGCGACGGCCCGAGCTCCGCCGCGAAGCTCGCGGAGTGGGCGATGTGGATCCAGCACGGCGACGGGCTCCCTTCCCGGGGGCGGCGGCGCCCAGTCTGCTGGAAGCAAGCCGGCGCGACAAGCGGCGAGGAGGAGGGAGACCCGCACGCGGGAGTGCCGCTCGTTCTCCCAGAGGGGCCCGCGCCGCACGCGATCGCCATGTGCCCGCGCCACACTGGCCGACCTCTGCGTTAGCGGCACTCGCGCGGTCCCCGCGGTCTGGCAGGATGCTGCAACTGCGACGACGTTGCCCTGCTGGATAGCGACGTCCCGCCGCCGCAGTGCTCCTGCGGCCGACCAGGACAGGTCGAGTGGGTCGCCCGAGCAAGTGGGGCCGCGGGAGGGCCGTGGAAGTGGCAAGGCGATTGGCTCTGCCAGGGCTGCGCAGCGACAGCGCTACAGGCGCCACAGGCCGCAGAACCAGGCTGCGGGGGCCTGCAGCACCACCGAAACGACGACCACCAGCACCACCAACAGCACCACAACCACCACGACGACACCCTGCACCACCACCTTCACCACCACGACCCCGGCCAGCAGCCAAACGACTACGACCAGCGGCGCCACCAGCACTAGGGCGACACGCCACACCACCAACAGCACCACCACGACGACGGCGACCAGCAGCCACAAGACTAGGGCCAGCGGCGCCACCGCCACCACGACGACAGGCAACACCACCAGCAGCACCACGACGCCGACGCCCAACACCACCACCGCCACCACCACGAACGCGATCGCTTCACCGGGCGGGCCCCACGGGACACCCCGCTGCAAGCGCCCACCAACACGGCCTTCTACGTGCCCCTGCTGCTTGCAGCGGCCTGACTGCTCGACCTAGCGGAGGCGGAGCAGTGGAGCGCGCGCCGCCTCGCGCAAGACTGGCGGCAGCCAGCGGTGGAGGCACTGCGGCATGCAGAGCCCGTCCCTGCAGAACAGCTTGCCCAGGGGCTGGAATTCGCGAGTGCCCGCCCTGGGGCCGTGCACGCCGCGATCGCAGCCGGCGGCGGAGAACGCCCTGGACACGTGCACCTGGCGTCCGTCGTCGGGGCCCTGACCGACAGCGCTGGATACATCGAGCATCAGGTGCAAGACCTCATGCTGGAGATGTCTGGCGGCGCCGTTCTGGCGCGAGGAATGGGCCGACGCACCGACGAGCTCCGCGACCCGGCGGTGTGAGCGGCGGCCGCGCCACTGGACCCAGAGCCGCACGGAGGCGGCGGAGGAGGAAGTGGCGGTAAAAAAAGCGGAGGGAGAAACGCCGCCAAAGGAGGCAGAGGACGAGGCGCCAGAGGAGGCAGAAGAGGAAGAGGCAGTGGAGGAGGGGCAGCACCAGCAGCAGAGGCAGAAGAGGAAGAGGCAGAAGAGGAAGAGGCAGAAGAGGAAGAGCCCAAGCAGCGGCAGTGACGACGCGGGAGGGAGCAGCAGCACCAGCCAGAGCGAGGAGGACATGGCGGGCAGCGCCTCCGATAGCGCCGGCCCCGCGCCGCCCGCTCCGGCCCAGCTCAGTGGAGACGGGAGCGCGAGGCCAAGGCAACCCCGCGCCAGGCCCGCAGCTCTGCCCCAGAGGCCTCCAGAGCGCCAGCCCGCCCGCGGCGGAAGAGCTCGCTTGACGGCTGCACAAAGGGAGGCGCTGGACGCGGCAGAACGCGGCGTCGCTGCTCCAGACCCGCGTGCCGACCCTCCAGCAGGCGCCAGTGGGCGTGCGAGGGCCGTCCCGCACAACGCGCTGCGCAAACCCCTGGAGCTGATCCGCGAGGGAGAGGCGGACGAAGCAGGAGCAACGAGAGAGTGGAAGCTGCTCCTGAGGACAGAGGCGGGGCAGCAGAAGATTCCCAAGGAGCAGCTCGTGGAGAAAGCTGGCGACCGGGCGCAGCGGCTGGCAGAAGCGCGACCAGGCCGGCCGCGCAGGCCAGGGCAAGAGAGGGGCAGAGCGCCAGACGAGAACGAAGACCTCCGCCGCCGCTGCGAGAGGGCCCACGACATGATCCGTCTCGGCGAGGTCTCAGTGGCACGCCAAGCTCTGACGGCGAGCGCAGTAGCCCCGGGCATTCAAACCACGCTAGACGATCAGAGACCCAGAACGCCGCCTCCAGCAGCCGAGGGCGCCGCTCAGCGAGAGAGCCGCCCGCGCGCCGCCAGAAGGACCGCACCTCGGGGATCTGCAATACTCGTGGCTCCTGCTGAGCATGCGCGCCAACCCCTGGGCCAACTTCTTCCAGAGGGCGCTGGCCCCCAAGGACACGGCCGCTTTCGCTGTGGCCCACGACCACAACCTGACTGGAGGCGAAGAAGGCGGTGGAGGAGGCGACGGAGGCGGAGGAGGAGCAGAGGGCGAGGAGGAAGCAGAGGCGCTGGAGGAGAAAGAGGACGAGTGGGTGGAAGCGGCGCTGCAGGACGCTGAGCGTGGCAGCGCGGGGGCCCCGCCGCCCTTCGGCTAGGAGGGGCTCGGGGAGGCGCGCCAGAGCGGGCCCCGAGCGAGGGTGGGGCTAGAACGCCTGCGACTCTGGGCGCGGCCGGGGGACACCGCAGCGCAGCCGCGCCAGGAGAGAGACAAGGCGCCGAGGGAGCTGAAAAGGAGGGGCGCCGCCCGCCGGGGGAGGCGAGCGGAGGGCCCGCACGGCGAGGGGCGCGCGCCCGCGCCCGCCCTGCGCGCGAACCAAACAAAAGAAAAACAAAAAAAACGCGCTCGCCGACATGCTCGAATTCCCACGAAGGACCAGTGCTGCTAACGACCACTGCGCATGGGAGGGCTCGGCTTGGGGAGCGCGGCCAGGACGGCGCCGGTGGCCTGGTGGGCCAGATTGCTCACGGATGCTCCGCGAGCGCTGCCTCCAGCTGGCAGGCCAGATCTGCCATGCGCTGGGCGAGCTGAACCGAGTCCCGCGGCCAGCCGCAAGCCAGCACGGCGAGGTCATCGCTAATGGCCTGCCGCTCTGGGGAGGAACTCCGTCGACGCGACCCTGGCGTCGCCTGTCCGAGAGGACGGCGCCGCACAGCCCAAAGCCGCGGACGAAGACGGTGTCCAGCTGGCAGTCGCGCGGGGCCGGAAGGAGGCGACGTACCCCGAGCTTCTCGGGTCGAGGTAATGCCGGCTGGTCGCGCTGGGGCTGAAAATCGGTGGCAGGTGGTCTGCGGAGGGCCTGACCTTCGCCAGGCAGCTCGCCAGGACCAAGGCCCGCAGCTCGCCGCAGCGCCTCCAAGCGTGTGCGCGGGCGGCGCACCTGCACCGCTGGACTGGCCTGGCCGCGGTCGCGGCCCGAGAGGGTTTTCGCGGCCACGCTCTTGGAGCTGCCGCCACACGCGATGGCCGTCGACGGCGACGAACCACACTTAGCCGACCTCCTGGCGGACGCCTGCTACACGGAGGCGCCAGAGCTTAGCCGCTTGCCGCCGTGCCCCTGATGGGGTGGAACGGGCGCGGCCCCACGCGGGGGGCCCGCCCGCCAGCGCAACAGGAGTCCAGACCAACAACGCGCAGCAGCAGCAGCAGCAGCAGCAGCAGCAGCAGCAGCAGCAGCAGCAGCAGCAGCACCAGCAGCAGCAGCACCAGCAGCAGCAGCACCAGCAGCACCAGCAGCACCAGCAGCACCAGCACCAGCAGCACTGCAGCACCAGCAGCACCAGCAGCACCAGCAGCACCAGCAGCAGCAGCAGCAGCAGCAGCAGCAGCAGCAGCAGCAGCAGCAGCAGCAGCAGCCGCGGCGGCGGCGGCGGCGGCGGCAGCGGCGGCGGCGGCGGCGGCGGCGGCGGCGGCGCGGCAGCCGCAGCAGCAGCAGCAGCAGCAGCAGCAGCAGCAGCAGCAGCAGCAGCAGCAGCGGCAGGCAACGCGACAGCGGAAACGACGACAGCAGACAGCAGGACCCACCGCCTCCCCAGACGGTCCTTCCAGCCGTCTGGCCGCCAGCCCCCCAGCCCCTTCCGAGGGAGGGGGCCGGCGCCAGCTGCAGCCCGAGCCCCCCAGGGGAAGAGCCCCATCCCCACGGTAGGACCCTCCTGGGGCCAGTTCCCCGCTGGGGCCTGCGCGGATCCGCTGCGGTCCCCGGCGGCGCCCTGGCTTTTGCAGCAAGCCCACAAGAGCCGAGCAACAAAGCAGCAGCAGCAGCAGCAGCAGCAGCAACAGCAGCAGCAGCAGCAGCAGCAGCACTGGCAGCGGCGGCGGCGGCAGCAGCAACAACGCCACCGCGGCCGCGACCAGCAGACCCACGACGACGGCCAACAGCGACACCGCCACGACGGCGACCAGCAGAACCATTGCCAGCAACGCCACCACGACTGCAGGCACCACCACGACCGCGACAGCGACCAGCAGCGCCACGACGACGCCCAGCACAAGAGGCGCTACGACTCCCAACAGCGGCACCGCGCACAGCAGCCCAAGCGCAACGAACGGCACCACAACGACCACGACCAGAAGGGCTACAACCAGCAGCAGCGCAATTACGAGCAGCAACAGCAGCAATGCCACCACGACCGCAACCAGCAAAGCCACGGCGAGGGCCAGCAGCAACACAAGCGCGACGGAGACCCGCAGCGCCGCTCCCAGCAGCGCCACCACGACCGCAGGCAGCTGCGCCACCGAGACGGCGACCAGCAGAGCCACGACTACGCTCAGCAGCAGCAACAGCAGCAGCAGCAGCAGCAGCAGCAGCAGCCGCCGCAGCAGCAGCAGCAGCAGCAGCAGCAGCAGCAGCAGCGGCGGTGGTGGCGGCGGCGGCGGCGGCGGCAGCAGCAGCAGCAGCAACAGGTGCAGCGCCACTACCAGCAGCAGCAGCAGCAGCAGCAGCAGCAGCAGCAGCAGCAGCAGCAGCAGCAGCAGCAGCAGCAGCAGCAGCAGCAGCAGCAGCATGACGGAAACCGGCAAGTCCACAACGACGGCGGCCAGTGGCACCACGACAACGCCGAGCAGCGGCACTACTACGACGGCGTCCAGCTAAGAGCCACGGCTAATAACGCCAACACGACTGCGACCAGCAGTGTGAAGGTCCAGTAAGACGACCGGCGTGCTGACCCCCCCCTTCGCGACAAGAGGTGCGTCGCGCATTCGTCGCCCGTGCGCCGCCCCTGCGTCGGCCGCCGAATAGTGAGTGCGTCGCCAACGCGGCGGGCACCCACGGGGCGGATCGCACGCGCATCGCCCGCTCCACGGCCGCTGAAAAGGCCGGCCGCTTTCGGGAAAAAGAAAGTCACCCACGCTGCGGCCCCCTTTGCGAGAAGAAGGCGACCGCTGGGCCACCTCGGCAGATCAGCAACTCCCTCTAACATTACAAATGCAACGGCGCTGCTGAACGCACCCCGGAGCTAGGCCAGCAGGTCCCCGCAGCCACCGTCACAGCCGCCGCGACCGCCGCCAGCGTCAAAACTACCGCCACCACAATCACCACAAACGGATGCGACCGCAACCACACCCACCGCGACGGGTACGACCAACACCATTTACCGCCATCACCACCACGCTTCTCGCGACCACCACAACGACTGACACCAGCACGAGCACCGACGCGACGACCATCAGCCCGCCCACCACCAGCGGCACGATCACCACCAGCGCGACCGAGGCGACGAACGAGACCACGACCATGAACACCAACATGACCGTCACAGAAGCACCCGCCCACTCTGTCCTCCCCCCTCTCCCCCCCATCCCCCTGCCGGGCCGCCATTGCCGCCGCGCCCGCCTCGCGCCCCTGCCCCTCCCCCCTCCTTGTCTCCTCGTAATATTCCTCTTCCACCGCCAGCGGCGGGGCCATTCGCGGAAGGCGGGGGCACCGCTCGCGGCGACGCGCCGCGGCCGAGGAGGGGGGGGGCGCAGGAGAAGAAGAAAATGGAGAGGAACATGGGGTGGCAAGGCCCCCCCCCAAAAAAAAAAAGAAAATAACAAAAATGCGAGAGAGGAGGGAGGAGGGACAGACAGAGGGAGGCCGGGAGAAGGGCGGAGGAGAAGGGGAGGAGAGAGGGAGACGAGGCAGGAGGGAGGACGAAGGAGGAGGAAGGACGAAAGAGGAGGGACGACGAGGAAGGAAAAGGGAAGGAACACGGGCAAGCACCGCCCTTCCTGGCGCAATGGAGGACGCAGCCGCCGCCACTTGCGAACAGCGCAAGCACGGCGGGTCGACGGCCGCTGCGCATTGCTGTTCGGAGAAATGCCTGGGGCGGGCAAAGTCGCGACTGCGTCGCGC